TCACCTCTTTTTCCATTTTGTACACCAACTACAAAGACTGTGATTTCATACACCATGCTTCAGTTAGCTGTTCATACCTGTTGTTGTGTAGGGGCAGGTGTCTGACTCTTTCTTACCTAAAGAAGTGGCACTATTAACTCAGTGATTGCCATTTCCCCAGTCAACTTCATTGACAATTCGAACTCCATCAACTGCTAGGGCCATCTTTCCAAAATGCAGCTCTGACGCTACTCTAAAACTTCTATAGTTTCCTTAATCACTTTTGTATGAAGTGATTCTCAGTATTTTCTCAGACTCCTCAAAAATATGGCTAATACATTATACTCTTCCTCTCCTGGTGATTTTGTGCATGCATTGCTTTATCTGGTATCAGTCAACCCTTCCCCTTCCTGGACATCTATCTCAAATGTCCCTCCTCCAAAGAACCTTTCTTGATTTTGCCAATAAGAAATTATCACTTCTTTCTTTGATTTCTCCATGATATTTATCTGTACCTCACTGATTACATCAATCTTACACAGCAGTGTATTAATTCAGTATAATACTGAATTATATGCTTAGTGTTTTCTTTCTTTTTTTTTTTTTGTTTTTCATGGTTTTGTTTATTACTCTAAAGACAAAGATCTCTGTTATCAATGGATCTCATCCTCTTATGGAAGGAATTCAACATTTTTAAGATCAATTTATTCAATTGACCTGTATTCAAGGAATATCTTACAAATTCTACTCTATGTGTGAGTCTTGCAATTTCATTCTTTGGGAGATAATTCTTATTCTAAGAAACTAGTGTGGTTTGTGGTTTAGAGTCATGGTTTAAGCTGCCCTTAGAAGAATGAAAAACAGCTGGTGTCCAAGGAGCTCTGGAAATTTGTCAATAAACTAATTGTGGAACAGAAGCCAAGAGTAAAGAAGTTCGACTTGCATATCTTAAGCCCTATCTATTGTATTACTATTTTTTTAAAGATACTGTGTTTAGAAAATTAGATATTTTAAATATGTATTTTTTACTAAAATCATGGACAAAATATGCAAAGATATATTATATAACTGTAACATAAATGTCAACACTCTGTTTAAATTGCTTCTACTTTATTTAGTCAAGGGTACACTGACATAACCAAGTACTTAAAAGGAGATAAAATCATTTAATTTTGAGGGACTATTTTAGAATTTAGGAAAATTTTTTGTTTTAAACTTTAGGTGAATGTGATAAAATATCATTATACATGATAATAAAATTTCCATTAAAATATATATCAAAATTGATGCTACTTGTAAACATATAACGATTCATAGGGAATTCAACTAAATCATCAAATAAATGTTGATCACTGTCTATACTCAAGAACTCGCTCAAAACAAATAGAGATACAAAGGCAAATAAAAATAGATTCAGCACCTAAAAAGCTTGCAAGAACTATACAAATAAGTACAGATTTTGATATTGATAAGAGCAAAATAACAGACATGAATGGTTATTTATAGCAGTTAAAAGAATGAGAAATTGATGGGGTGCCTGTGTGGCTCAGTTAGTTAAGTGACGGACTCTTGATTTTGGCTCAGGTCATGATCTCAGGGTCCTGAGATTTAGCCTCCAATAGGGCTCCCTGTTTGGAGTGTGGAGCCTGTTTAAGATTCTCTCTCCCTCTGCCCCACCCCTGCTTAAAAAAAAAAAAAAAAGGAAAAATTGAATATGGTCGTGAGGGTAAAAAAAAAATCAATAAAGGACATAGCATTCTGATAAAACTTGAAGGTCAGGGTCGTAAATCATGAAATAAGTTAAGGAAGAGAAAGATGAAGAGAGACAGCCTGGAAAGAAGGTTCAGAGAGAAAAGTTGCGGGTGAAAGGGACCCCCATCTTGCCAGCACGTTTAACAAAAGCCCTGAGCTGAAGACCATCTTCAAGGAGGTTCCTGCAGCTACTATCACACACTGATGAGGACTTGAACAAGTGGCTAGTGGTCCTGGTGAGCTAAGGGTCCTAAGTGTTTAATTACATAGTAAGTGTTAGGAATGGAGCTCACTTTCAGACTGCTCACAGTCCAAATCAAAGCTGAACAGGTATGTGGTAAATTGAGATCTATATTTTTCACCAGGCCTAGAGATTAGTCATTTACAGTTTGTGCTCCAACCTCCAAGTAGCCTCTTACATTGTAGTGCCCTCAATGTTTCTCTGAGTCTTCATGAAGGATCCATGTGACTTATTTCAATGACTTCATTTACTCAAACAGTCTTTCTAACTTACAATTTCATTAAATTGAACACATTTTTCTAGCCAAACTAATCAGTTTTGTCCTTCCCCAGGGCCTTTTCCCATTGCTCTTCCCTCCACCTGGGAAGTTCTTCCCTCATCTATCAGGGTGGTGGACTCCCTCACCTCTCTCCAGGACATTCTTAGCGAGGCCTTCCCTGGCCATCCTATTAAATTTCACAATCTCACCACAACCTGCTTTATTTTTCTTAACAACCTTATCACCTTCTAATGTACTATGTACTTTTTAAATTTATCTTATTTATTGTCTGGTTTTCTACCCAGGAAGTCAAGGACTGTCTATTTTATTCATGAATGTAACCCAGTGTTTAGAATAGTGCCTGACATATAGTAAGTGCTCAATAAATAATAAACGAGTAAGTACATGGGCAAATGAATTATATGCAGTATTTACATGACAATTTGATACAGTTATATTTAATTTTATAGAACTTACTGTTCCAATTACTAGTTCTCATTAACTGACTGAAGGAGGATTTATAAAACATCTACTGACATAACCAGTACTGTATCTGGTTCTTACAAAATAAATCATATCTTAGCTCCTATATTGAGAAATAAGAATAGAATAGAATATGAATACTACAGGATTTCAGCTGGCATTTTAAAGGAGGAACAAAGATACCCTGACACCTCCAGGGGTTCCCCTCAGTGGAGCATTTAATAAACCTAGCCAATGGAAAGATGCTTTCCAACACAAGCATTGGCTTTGAAATTCCATAGATCTAAATTCTAACTCCATTAATACCATTCACTGTCCATGCCACCTTGGCCTACTCATTAACTTTTCTAGGTCTACATGATTTCAATTGTAAAATGAAGTTCACAGTCTCAGCATCATAGGGAGAATGTGAGCTATCAAATGAGATCATCTATGGAAACAATTAGCCAAGTCATTGACACATAGAAAAAAATTAAATAAATGCATGTGGAATGAATGAATACTTGATCAGTAGGGGAAAATATAACCAGAAAGGATGTGGCTGTTTCAACCATTTATACTGTGTTGTACCCCACATTTACTCATGATGATCCCTCTGCCTTCAATATCATTAAAACAGTGAATTGCATTATATGTAGGTTGGTTATTATCTATATTATTATTCCCATTTTAAAGATAAGGAAATGGAGTCTCACACACATTAAATAACTTGTCCAAAGTCACAAAGTAAGCAGCAGTGTTAGGGTTTGAACGCAGAAGAGCTCACCTCTATAACACTTCAGCTATCTTCACCCTACTTTTGTCTGCATAGTGTTGTGATTGGCACCGGCAATTATTTCCTAAACCCACAGTCTATATATTATACTTTTCTGATCTCATTTAGAATCTTATGTATATTTCTCTCCTAATTTATGGTAACTAAAAAACTTATTTGTTCTTTTTTCTATATCAATATATCACCTTCTTGAAAGTGCTGTTTATCAGAGGTCTATTTTGTTAGGCTCTGATCTACTTGCTCAATCCCTCAACTCATACTTTGCTGATTACAACCCTATATGGCAGGTACTACGTTTATCCTCATATAAAAGATGATGAAAATGAAATGAAACATTCATGCAGGTTGTATTTCAGGACTGAGGTTTGAACCCAAGCATTTAGATTCCAAAGCCCATTTCTTAACCATGAGGGTATAATGCGATTCCTAAACCAGGACTGATTATATCTCCTCTTCCAATTTCTTTACAGAAAACTCCTAGGAAAGTGCATTTTCATAGAATCTAAATTGTACTTCTATGAACTATGACTCTCTTACATTTGGCAAGTCTATTTTCCCTGTAACTCTGACATCTCCCATTAGTCAAACTTAAAAAGCTTATTTAAGTAGAAGAGATAAATTGAGAAACTGAGAGAAATACCAAATTTTAGGTCACTTATAAGAAGTTGTTAGTGGTACCACCTCCTCACCCCAACTTAGAAAAACCAAGCTGGTGATCGTCATTGCCTTAAAGGAGCATCAAGCTGTGCTCTTAGAAGGTACTGGACTCTAAACCATAAGCTTACATAAACACAAAACACAAAATAAAGCAACTTTAAAAAGCACAGCTATCCTTTCAGTACCAACTCAAGGGTTTTGTTTTATTTTTTACTTCCTAAGTAGAGTGATTTAAACATAGAGTGCCTATTTTTAAAAGAGCAAAGAATGTGTTCATGGCAAGTTGGAACAGTGTGCAAGTGTGCTGGCTTCACTGTTATCTGAACGACAAAGCATTAAATCACATCGAGGAAAAAGTCAGCATGTTCTCTGAGAACACAAATAGATTAGCATCAGGAAGAGCTTTGTCCCAGAAAGGGAAGAGACACCTACCCAAAGATAAATTATGTACACAAAACCTATAATTTAAAAAAATTATTTTCAAGAAATGTTTTAGCCGATAAATATGACTATTAGATACACGAACACAGAAATATTTCCATGTGAATATTTTTTAAAAAGTGTGTCTTTCAAATGTGGTCAGTCAACACACCCCATTCTTTATCTCTGTTTCTTATATAAGACCAGATTCATCAGTGGTTACAGAACTCACAAAACAAAATGAGAACCTCCCCTCCCTTTAATTCTATGATGCAACAAAATTTAAGCTTACTAGGCATATAAGAACCTTCCTAAGTTAAAATGTATAGCAGAGCTCCATATCCCTTAATATATAAACACTCTTTAGGTTCTTCAATGAACAATTTAAATCCAGCGTCCTCACTCCGAACTCAAAGAAAACAAATTCCTCTTACCATATATTCCATGTTTGCTGCCGGTGGGAACACCTTGCCCCGAACTTGATTATGGTAATCAAGAATGGCGATCATGTCATTCTGCGAAATGTAGCGCTTCCGCCTGGCTTTGGGGATATCCGCAGAATCTAGTTGTACTTTTAGTGCTGCTTCAATATCAGTGAAATTATTGGTTGGCGGGGATGAGTCAGTGGAATTGAGTAAGACCACGGCACTTGCTTCACAGAGAAGGGAGAAGAGGAGTGCACTGCTGACTGTAGAGACTGCTATCATTTTGAGGGATGGAGGAGAGGCCACCAAGTGTACTTTGCTTTAAAGCAGAAAGGTAGAGTTAGTATCTATGAGAAAAGAAAAAACAATGGGGGGTGGCAGTGAGTATGAATTTACAAAGTTATCATTTGGGAGCATCGCTTGATTTGATTTTCTCTGAAAAATTCAAACTGTTCAACTCAAGTCTAGGAAACAACCTACAGTAGTTGTTATACATTTCCCTGGGTGTTATGAGGCAGATTCCTAAAAGAAACTTCCTATAGCTAGAGAAAAATAAACAACATGACTACTAACCCTAAAATTAATATGGGCCATTTGCCCCAAATGCCTGAACCATGTAATGCATTACTGCATATTTTCAGAGGGAAAACTTTAGGAATTGAAATTAATCTTGAGAGTGAGAAGGAAAAATGCATCACAAGTAACAACAGAGAATGTGCTGATAATGTGTCCCAGACATATATGGACACCAAGGGATAGAATACAAACAAACAAAAAAAAGTTATATTAAAGTCAATCTCATTTCTTAAAAAAAAAAAACCGAAAATGTGAGCTAGTATAAAATCAATGCATGCAAAATAAACTTGTTGAGCTAAAGAGCTTACCTCTGCAGAATGCCAAAATGAATATATTGTTCTTCCAAAAATTTAAAGTTCTTTGCTAGGTTGTAGCATGAACTCTTATAAGAGTGTGTCTTATTACAAGCTCTCAGAGAGCAAAACTCTGCAAGGTTTAAATGCTGCTGGCTGCAGGAGCAGCTAACAGCTTTTATATGTCACAGTCTGCAACTTCCAGAAAGGGCAGTCTTTCTTAGGGTCTCTCTCAGCCAACATCAAAGGGGAGGGGTTTGGATAGAAAAAACAGTGATTGGGTGGCAACCTTTTTATGTGGGTGGTGAGGAAATTGAGTCACACCCACAGCTTACGAAGTACAAACCATAAAAGACAAAAACCCCTTTTCTCTGGGCTTCCACCTTTTCTGTGAGTGGTTAATTTTCCTTATTTAAAGCTTTCTAGTTCTTGGTTCCCATACAAAAAGGAGGAAAAAAAAAAAAAGAAGAAGATTGAGTTCTTGAAAACACAGACGGCTGAGTAACAAGCAGTACGTTTTTTTACAAGACAGCAAATGACATGGGAGCTGAAAAGAGCAAGCTGATATTAAATCAAGAGATCAGCTCACATCATTAATCTGGGTGGCCACAAATATGACTCAAGAGGGATGCCAGGCAGATCAGTAGTAGCCAAACTATAGCATATGATATTAGGATAATAGATGTTCAAGTGGTTGTACTTTCTGTCTCCATGTGGCTTTATTCTTCTAGTTTATGTATTTATTCTCTCCCTTTGTTTTGTTTCACCATCTCTCCATTTTTTTTTCTTTCTCCACAGAGGGAGGCAGCAAATTACCTGCCTTGTATACAATGCAAATAGAGAAGCTCATGACAAATGACAGTAGCCAAAACATCTGTTTCAGGTTTAAAAGCATATAGTTGAAATCTAAGCAGAGAAGGGTTCAGACTCTCAGGAAGCATTCTGAAGGGCATAGCATAGAGGCCATGAAGAATTTAACAGCAGCAGGGGCGCCTGGGTGGCTCAATGGTTAAAACCTCTGCCTTCGGCTCAGGTCATGATCTCAGGGTCCTGGGATCGAGTCCCGCATCGGGCTCTCTGCTAAGCAGGGAGCCTGCCTCCTCCTCCTCTCTCTCTCTGCCTGCCTCTCTGCCTACTTGTGATCTGTCTGTCAAATTAAAAAAAAAAAATGTTTAAAAAAAAAATTAACAGCAGCAGCCAGCTGCCAACAGTTAAAAGTGCCTTCTCAGAAAGATGGCATTGGAGCAAAATCCGTGTCCAGCAAGAACAAGAGCCAAGAATACGAATGTCAGGGCAATCTACAACGAAAGGACCCTCAAAAATGCCATGTGTCATGATATCACTAGTAAAATGTGGACCATTCTCAGTCAGTGGCAACAGGAATCCTGGAGAATACACACTATTCAGTTTAAGAACTTACTTAACATGCACTAACTTGTCTAGTTTACCAATGTGATTGTCTCCTGCATATTTCAGCAGGAAGAGTACTATGTGAATTTACAGTCATCAGAAATGATGGTCATGTGGTTAGAAATACACCAGACTGGGAGCCAAGTTTCCTGGGCTATATTCCCAGTTGGGTCTTCAGCATTATGTGTGGCCTGATGCGTACTGTTTAACTCTTCATTGGTGCAGCCAAAACTGGGAGGAAAAAGGTACATATCTTATGGTGAGATCTACAACATCCAATTCCTTAAGAGAGCTGTAAGGTATTTGAAACGAGAAGTTTCTCTGAATTTCAAAATACAGTGATGAGATGCAGTCTTAGATGTTAACAAGTGCCAAGTGTCACCCTATTTTAATGAGATTTAAGCTCCTAACTAAAGTCAAGTCATTTTAGGAGAGCTTACCGTATAATACTTCAAGTTGTAAACAGGAATTAATTAGCACTGGAGAACTGGAAAGACAAGAACACAAAAGCACAGGAAGTGAACAGGAAGAGTATAAAACATTAGAGCAGCTTGAGAAAATGCACATGGCTGTCCACAGTTACAGATGTTTAACAACTGGAGCTGTCCAGCTAGGGTCTCACCTCTTCAGAAGGTACTCATGGCACCTTGAATGAATCTCAAGGACACAGTGTTAAGGATTACTGAATTGAATAGGAAGTTAGGCAACATCCTGTCTGTGGCCATCCAGTTCAAAGATCCCAGGACATTTGAGAATTTAGTGCTAGCACTGATTAGCCTTTATCTTTCAATATATCTCACATAGCTTTCCAGCATAAATGGGACTAAAGGACTTTTATTACCTAAACAGCAGAGATGAGCTTTTCTTTCTCTAGGTGGCTGAGCTCTTGCTTAGAGTATCATAAAAATCAACCACTACTTCCAAGGTTACCTCTTTGTCATGTCCACTAAGAGATATTGTCCATCTCTTGAGGTTCGAACTAAGGGACTTCTATGGGGATAAAAATGCATTCCTTAAGAAATGTGTCTGGACCACAAATGAGTTTCCTCTAAAAGGAAATAGAGGGCTAGAGGAGGAGAAAGAGAAGGAAGGAATTTCTGAGTTGGACCTAAATGGGAGATTACTTCTTTGAGTCCAAATACATGAGGACAGAGCTGATAGTTGCTTAATCCTGAGACCCTGAGGCATGTCAATGATTTCAGATGTCTTTCAACACACATGGATTATATTGTGGAATTTCAGACTATTAAGGAAACCCACAAGGCTATGGAATCATAAAAGGAAAGACCTGTGGGAGGAGAATTAAAAATTCTGCCTCCAAGCAGACGTTATTGCCAGGAGTATTTGAAATGCTTTGGAAGTAATTTTAATTTTAAAATACTTGCAAAATTAAGGGGCATACATCCAAGTTGCCAGTAAGAGAACTATTAATGAACAACTAACAATGAGGTGGTTCTTTATAAGATATCTTCTTGAAAAAGACCACTAACATGTTTAGAAACCTTAGGGGAATGCTTGCCAACAGTGACAGAAATTAAATATAGCTACCATACTGAAAAAAAAAAAAAGAAAGAAAGAAAGAAAAGAAAACACACATATAACATATACAATTGGTAACAATTATTTTCTACCTTGAAACCTGTGAGAAAATGATTACAATTTTTAAAATGAAATAAAATATAAATATCCCAGAAAATGCTTAGTAAATTGTGATGTGCTATATAAATAGAAACTATAATTGTATTCTCTCACCTCTAGGACAGAAGCCCCAATCATCCTTTGCTCCTCACTCTTTCTCTTCTTGTTTCATATATCCACTAGTTTTGTAAAACATGTGGATTTATTTTGTTTATATTTGAGCATTGTTGACACACAATGTTACATTAGTTTCATGTGTACAACTTGATTTGACAAATTTATACATTTTTCTATGTTCAATACAAGTGTAGCTACCATCTGTCCCATTATATAATCCCTCTTACAATATCACTTACTATATTCCTTATGCTGTAACTTTTATTCTCATGACTTATTCATTTCATAGCTGGAAGCCTGTATCTTCCACTCCCCTTCAATTTTACCCAAACTCCCACCCCATTTCCCATAGCAACCATCAGTTGTGTATTTTATCTCTGAGATGTCTCACCAAACTAGCCTTTTTTTAATAGCATTATTATGTCTTTTTTTTTTAAATTTCTCTACTTATTTATTTATTTATTTATTTATTTAGTTTTATTTAGTTTTTACTTAGCTTTATTTGTTTGTTTATTTATTCAGTTAGTTTTTACTTTAATTCCAGCTAGTTAATATACAATATTATAGTAGTTTCAGGTGTACAAAATAGTGATTCAACAGTTCCATACATCACCCAGTGCTCATTATGATAAGTGCACTCCTTAATTCCCATCATCTATTTCATGCATCTCCTATCCACTTCCCCTCTGGTAACCAACAGTTTGTTCTCTACAGCTAAGAGTCTGTTTCTTGGTTCCTCTCTCTCTCTCTCTCTCTAAATCATTATTATGACTTCTTAAATTTAATCCCATTATCTTTTTCTAGGATTACTCTAGTGTCTCTCCTCTCATTCACTAGTCACATTGCTTTTCATTACCTTCTTGAAAAGGAAACAGAATAATTTCACTCATCTACATGTAACACTTTTGGCTGCCCATTGCCCATAAGATCAAGGCCAAGTGCCTTGAACTTAACAGGGGGCTTGAGAGTATAAATCAATTATATGTTATTATAAAAAAAAGCTCAGTAAACTATAAGATAACTGCATAAATGGTGTATTAACTTCTCTTTATTAAAATATTTTCTTACTCAATTACAAGTCTCAATAGCATTCTAAAGCTATCAGTATTTACAGATGTCTAAGTGAGGTTTGCAAACTTTTTCACCAGATTAACCATTAATAATTACTAATCAATTTATGATATTTCAGATAAAGGGCTGATATCCAAGATCTGTAAAAAACTTACCATACTCAGCACCAAAAAAACA